GGTGTGGGGGGGGGTGTGAAGGAATTGTTATGGTTGTGAAGTCAGTGAAGGAATTTTTTTAGGTTGTGGTGGAGGTGGTGGTAGAAAAATTTGGTAATAGAGAAATTTGGTATGGTATCGATGGTTGGGTTGGAGGGATTTAGTTCTTGTTGTGGTGATGGTTGAGGATTTTTTAGGTTGTGGAGTTGGTGGTAGTTTTTTTTATGGTTGTGTAAGTAGGGGTTAGTATAAAATAGAGTGGGGACGTGTGGTGATATTGGGGGCGCCAACCACACCAGCAACACCACCACCACCACCACCACCATCACAAATTGATGGTGGTGGTATTGTTGGTGGTTGTGACCATTGTTTCAACTAACCACGGTGGTTTAAAGGGTTGGGAAATGTTTGAACAAGATACAAACGGACCTGCACGGTTGGCACGTGTAAATAACTAACTTGAATACTTCGTTGTATGATGAACGTGAAGACACAGACGATAAAAATTACACAGCCGACACCACAGGAGGGTTCTTGTGTTCATACAGACTAATACATCCAGGCTAATACATTCGGACTAATATATACAGTGTAATAGATATAGACTAACATATACAGAATAATACAGACTAATATGATAGATGGCCACCTAAAAACCGCCCGTAGCCTGTAGGACATTTGTGCCAATATGGCCGCACCTTAGAGAAGCTATAGACTTCCCGACCTAAGGACTGTCGACTGGCAGATGCCAGGACTGCCGACCTAAGGACTGCCGACCAAAGGACTGTCGACCTAAGGACTGCCGATCTAAGGACTGCCGACCAAAGGACTGTCGACCTAAGGACTGCCGACCTAAGGACTGCCGACCTAAGGACTGCCGACCTAAGGACTGCAGACCTAAGGACTGCCGACCTAAGGACTGCCGACCTAAGGACTGCCGACCTAAGGACTGCCGACCTAAGGACTGCCGAACTAAGGACTGCCGACCTAAGGACTGCCGACCTAAGGACTGCCGACCTAAGGCCTGCCGACCTAAGGACTGCCGACCTAAGGACTGCTGACCTAAGGACTGCCGACCTAAGGACTGCTGACCTAAGGACTGATCAAGGACTGAGTCCGTAGTCCCGAACACCCACACTAATGATTGGGTCACATTGTCCAAATATTGATATACTTTCTGCCTATAGCATTGATACTTTATTTTTGCTGGGCAAAACTGGGTCAAGATGGTTCATGCAAGGGCAAAAAGTACATCGATACGTGGACAAAAATTCTATGTTTTTCTGAGTGAACTCTTGAAGGCATGTCGCTGCTGCCATGTACAGAAGTGATGGCCGACACTGAGAAAACGATGTGGTTCAACATTGCGAGGCTCCTCCACGAAAACAGCCACACTAGGTCTCAAATTTCACGGAGATGCCAGGACAGTGCAGGATATTCGTGGCTGAGTCGCATTTTACGCGAGGAAATTCCGGATGGTGGAAAAGGATATTTAGTATAGTATAGTATAGTATAGTATAGTATAGTATAGTATAGTATAGTATAGTATAGTATAGTATAGTATAGTATAGTATAGTATAGTATATGTTCAGACTAGAAGTTCATACACCCCTACGGACCTGGCAAAAGTCCAGGTAAATAAGCAATTTGAAGTCACTTTAGGAAAGATCTGCTCAAAATGTCAGTTTTTATATCTCTTGTGAACAAGTCACGAAAATTATATGAATCGGCGATATGCCTAACCTGGCCTATTTTACAACGCCGTCACTAATATATTATACTATGCTGTACTATGCTATACTATGCTGGACTATGCTGTACTATGCTGTACTATGCTATACTATGCTATACTATACTATGCTTTACTACAATACACTATACTACGCCTTATGACTTTATAACGAGTTCAGTCCTCGGTCACGCTGATGCGCCGCCTTCGTCGTCCTCCGTCTCTGAGTCGTCGATAGGCAGGTCACTCCGCCCTCGGGTCCCGGAGGTATAGGTGAACGTGTTCCGTCTATTTGCCCTCCTTTGGGCAGCTGATGCAAGATGCTGTTGCTTGTCACTTGCTGAGGGTACTTTCCCATAACTGGACAATCCGGGATCTTTCTTAACCAATTGTCCAGTCGTCTCTTGAATGTTGCAAGGGTGAACTCCCCTCCTCTCAGCGCTTTTGGCAAGGCATTATAGAGCCTCGGTCCTGCAACGGACAGTGATCCCTCACGGAGAGTCTGTACTCTGGCCGCGGCTCGGTTATTAAATGGGGGAACCTCGCACAGTCTCCCTCCCCTCCTTTCGTGGTCACGTGTCACTATTCTGTAGGCCTCACTCTCAAAGTTGGGAGCCAGTCCGGTTATCATCTTCCAAGTATACAGTATGATATACCTTTCTCTTCTCCTCTCCAGTGAGTACAGTCACAGGTGTTTCAGCCTTTCCCAGCAGTTCAGGTTTAGCTCCCTCATGCCGCTGTCCTATTGTGAAGGTCCGGTGGACTTACTCGTTTCCGCACCGCGCCCGCTTCGAGCGGCGCCCAAAGCTAGCAGCAGTACTAAAGATTGAGGCACTCGAGAGCTCAGAAGAGCGTAATCATTGGCGCTGCTTCTCTCGTTCTGAATGTCCGCCATATCCACTCCATCCATTGTCTGCATTGTGCAACTATTTCTTCGATGTGGTCATCGAATGTGGCTACGATACTCATCAACATTCCGAGATCTCGAACAAGTTGCTTCTCCTCAATTTCTGTGCCGTCTGATGCTAGGTGGCGATACAGCATCCCGACCTCCGTACCAACTCTGTATCTCATTACTTCGAAAATAGTGCCGTTGAATTGCTTATTATTTACTAACGCCGAATCGTAGGTTGTTGACACACTGCACATTACACACTACACTATGGCCATACAATACTATACTACATTATACTATAACATACTTTAATCCACTATACTATGCTATAGGTCACCTTTCGGTTGCCACTCTCGCCTTATTAGGGTCAAATGACACGCAAAATCAGCGGCTGGCCCAGACTCTTCGTGAGGGATCTCTCTTCTTGGTCCAGACTCTTCATAACGGATCTCCGTTCTTGGTCCAGACTCTTTGTGATGGATCTCTCTTCTTGGTCCAGACTCTTCGTGATGGATCTCTCTTCTTGGTCCAGATTCTTCGTGATGGATCTCTCTTCTTGGTCCAGACTCTTCGTGATGGATCTCTCTTCTTGGTCCAGATTCTTCGTGATGGATCTCTCTTCTTGGTCCAGACTCTTCGTGATGGATCTCTCTTCTTGGTCCAGATTCTTCGTAATAGATCTCTCTTCTAGGTCCAGACCCTTCGTGATGGATCTCTCTTTGGTAAAGACTCTTCGTGATGGATCTCTTNACCCACCTTTGTCCCCCGCCCTGACCCACCTTTGTCCCCCGCCCTGACCCACCTTTGTCCCCCGCCCTGACCCACCTTTGGCCCGAGGAGGGTCCCTTGTTACCCACCGACCGCAGATAACGTCCTGCCGCCTGCCTGTGAATGGCGCTAGACCGGTAGACCGGTAGACCAGTAGACCAGTACACCATTAGACCAGTAGACCAATAGACCAGTAGACCAGTAGACCAGCAGACTAGTAGACCGTACCAGTTGACCAGTAGACCAGCAGACCGGTACACTACTAGACAAGTAGACCATTAGACCGGTAGACCGGTAGACCGGTAGACCGGTAGACCAGTTGGCCAGTAGACCAGAAGACCAGTAGACCGTGCCAGTTGACCAGTAGACCAGCAGACCAGTAGACCATACCAGTTGACCAGTAGACCAGCAGACCGGTACACTACTAGACAAGTAGACCATTAGACCAGTAGATCAATAGACCAGTAGACCAGTAGACCAATGGACCAGTAGACCAGTAGACCAGCAGACCAGTACACCACTAGACAAGTACACCATTAGACCAGTAGACCAATAGACCAGTAGACCAGTAGACCAGCAGACTAGTAGACCGTACCAGTTGACCAGTAGACCAGCAGACCGGTACACTACTAGACAAGTAGACCATTAGACCGGTAGACCGGTAGACCGGTAGACCGGTAGACCAGTTGGCCAGTAGACCAGAAGACCAGTAGACCGTGCCAGTTGACCAGTAGACCAGCAGACCAGTAGACCATACCAGTTGACCAGTAGACCAGCAGACCGGTACACTACTAGACAAGTAGACCATTAGACCAGTAGATCAATAGACCAGTAGACCAGTAGACCAATGGACCAGTAGACCAGTAGACCAGCAGACCAGTACACCACTAGACAAGTACACCATTAGACCAGTAGACCAATAGACCAGTAGACCAGTAGACCAGCAGACTAGTAGACCGTACCAGTTGACCAGTAGACCAGCAGACCGGGACCAGTACACATCTAGACAAGTACACCATTAGACCAGTAGACCAATAGACCAGTAGACCAGTAGACCAGCAGACTAGTAGACCGTACCAGTTGACCAGTAGACCAGCAGACCGGTACACTACTAGACAAGTAGACCATTAGACCAGTAGACCGGTAGACCAGTATACCGGTAGACCAGTAGACCAGCAGATCGGTACACCACTAGACAAGTACACCATTAGACCAGTAGACCAATAGACCAGTAGACCAGCAGACTAGTAGATCAGCATACCAGTAGACCGGTAGACCAGTATACCGGTAGACCAGTAGACCGGTAGACCAGTAGACCGGTAGACCAGCAGGCCAGTAGACCAGTAGACCAGTAGACCAGTAAACCAGTAGACCAGTAGACCGGTACACCACTAGACAAGTAGACCAGTAGACCAGTAGACCAGTAGACCAGTAGACCAGTAGACCAGTAGACCAGTAGACCAGTTGACCAGTACACCACTAGACAAGTCGACCAGTAGACCAGTAGACCAGTAGACCAGTAAACCAGTAGACCAGTATACCAGTAGACCAGTAGACCAGTAGACCAGTAGACCAGTAGACCAGTAGACCAGTAGACCAGTAGACCAGTAGACCAGTTGACCAGTAGACCAGTAGACCAGTAGACCAGNGATGAAGAAAAACTGTGTTTTAAAGAAATCTGAAAAAAGTTCGTTCCTCGAAATATTCATATTTTAAGATTGAATGAGTTCTTGAAAGTCTAATTTTAGTTTTTGAATAATGTTCGGGTGCACCGTTGTATAATTTTCCAATAGATGCTCTGTAGGCATATTGCCAATAAGTTCATCTTTGGCCATAGGGCAGCCGCCGTAACCCAAAATAGCCCCATCAAAGTGTTGACAACCTGCCGCGAAGGCGGCATCTATCTTTTCTTTCCAATGCTCAGGATGCGTATGGAAATGTGCCCCGAACGTGGCCTCTGGAAAACGAGGAATTAGATTTTCGAAAAGGTAAGTAATCGAATCTGGCTGTGCAATTCCGATTGTATCTGAAAGTGAAAAATGCTGAATGCCCAGCTGTAGCAATTTCTCTACCCATTTTATGGCAATGTCGGCATTCCAGTCCTCATTGTAGGGATTTCCAAACCCCATAGAAATATAGATGAGCAATTGTTTATTGCTTCTAGCAGCGGTATTTTGAATGGCCTCTACCCTATTCAAAGACTCGGCAATGGTGGCATTGGTATTTCTGAGCTGGAAGGTTTCTGAAATAGAAAACGGATAACCCAATATACTGATTTCTTCAAACACACATGCCTGTCTCTTATACACATCTAGATGTGTATAAGAGACAGGTGCTTGACTGGTGACGTTGAAGTTTGAACTCATGTTTGATCTGAACTTCAACTCGAGTTTAGTTGAGTTATAAACCTGAACTTCAACTCAAGTTGAAGTTCATGTTTAAGAATGAGGTTATAGCTTAAATTAAAGCTTATTTTGAAAATGAAGTGAATGAAGTTGAAGCTTGAGTTTAGGCTAAAGTTGAAGCTTAGGTTGAGGCTTAGGTTGATGTTTCAGTAAGGTCTTAAGTTGAAGTTTAAGTAAGGCTTAAGTTTAAGTTTAATTTAGATCTTAAGTTGAAGTTTAACTTAGGTCTTAAGTTAAAGTTCAAGTTAGGTCTCAAGTTGAAAT